ATCACTTTCTCCTCTATGTGAGGGGAACCCTTTGGAACTAGTTCTTGGAGTTCTTGGTGTTCTCCTTCTTGTTCTTCCTCTCATTTTCCTTCATAGCTTTCATTGCTTTGGTGGGATTTGAGAGTGAGGTACTTGAGCACTCCGTGTGCCCTTGCCATTGCATTTGGTGCATAGGTTTGAGTTCTCCACATAGATAGATGGAAGTGAAGTTGAGAGCTTATTACTCTTGGGTGATTGGTACCCTAGAGCTTCCTATTGGGTGCTTGGGCGTCCTAGATGGTTGGTGGTGCTTCAGAGCTCAATCATTATGGTGTAAAGCTCCAGGCAAGCGTCGTGGTCTCCAATTAGGTTGTGGAGATCGCCCCGAGCAATTTGTACAGGTTCCGGTGACCGCCCTCATGGGTTGCCAAAGTGTACGGGTTCGGTGACCACCCCAAGGGTCTCCATTTGTACGGGTTCGGTGACCGTCCTCAGAGGTCCCTTTGTGGAATCATGACATCTTGCATTGTGCGAGGGCATGAGGAGATTATGGTGGCCCTAGTGGCTTCTTGGGGAGCATTGTGCCTCCACACCGCTCCAAACGAAGATTAGCATCAACAAGGGTGTGAACTTTGGGATACATCCTCGTCTCCGCGTGCCTCGGTTATATCTTACCTGAGCCCTTTACTTATGCACTTTACTTTGTGATAGCCATAGCGTTTCATGTTATATACCTTGCTATCACTTAGTTGTTTATCTCGCTTAGCATAAGTTGGTGGTGCACACAAGTGAGCCTAGTTGTTGTAGGTTTCGTGCTTGACAAATTAACCGCTAGGTTTATTCCGCATGTGTTCAAGCCTAAACCGTAATTATTTTAAAGCGCCTATTCACCCCCCTTTGGGCGACATCCACAATCTTTTAAAGAGGAAGTGGGAGGATGATACATCTCATTGAAATAATTAATCATTGGCTTAAATTTATAACAAGACTAAACCAGAAATGTTCTGGAATATTTTGTATTATAAAGCTAAGCAAAGAAATTGCTACATTAGATGTGGAGATTCAGTTAAGACTGTAATAGAATGCAAAGGTCAGGAAGATTATTGAATCTACTAAATATTTTATCTTAAAAGAAGATGAAACCAACGCACTATGAGGAAGCAGTGATGGCACCAAGCTAAGATAGGCATTACCCAAGCCATCTAAATCCAAAGTGAAGTCCATATGCAAGGAGAAAGTTTTGAACTTGGAGAAACCTTTAGAAGGTGTATAAATGGATCTCCGATTATTCATGGATAAGGATCCTGAAAGAAAAGTATTACAAAAGAGTTTTGTAGGAATTGAAGAATTGATCTTGTCAAATCTTCTTGTCAGTAGAATACTAAAAGTATTACTGGATTACAATGGTGAGTGTTATTGATGTCTGACAGATGAGTAACAAAACTAGTTTGAAAAGTGATTTCAAAAGGATGTACATAAGATACAATGAAAATGTTTTGTCATGAATACCAGAATGATATATATATATATATATATATATATATATATATATATATATATTTCAAATAATGAGTATGATTTGAAATAATATATCAAGTAGCTGGAATTTGGTAAAGAAATTGGAGAATTTAAAATTTTATCAACAACTTATGGATACAAGAAGTTTAGGTGGAAGCTCTAAATTTCTGATCTTACATATGTATGACATATCACCTGATCAAAAATAATATAAAGTATATTAGCACAAAGATTAAACTCATGTTTCTAAAAGGGACTTAGAATAATTGGATGACAATCTATATAGATAGATTGGAACTTCTGATTATACAAAAAACATGTACTATAACAAAGTTTTAAAGAAGTTTAAAAGGAGAATATATTTTCTCAAAATGTCACATAGTGTAACACTATGCATAAATCAATAGTTGATCAACATATGTGGATGAACATAGTTCAATTTGATTCAAATTGAATTCATCATATGTGCTATCAAATGTACAAAGCCATACGTTTTCGCATGAACTAATCGTTAGTAGCAAGTGCCATAATGATCCGGGAAACATTCACTAGGGTAATTGCTTAAAGATTAAGTACCTCAATTGGACAAAAGTTTTGATTCTTATCCTTGGATGAGATGAAGAGATTGTTGTAAATAGTTACACAAAATATTTCTTATAAAGGTTACACAAAGACAACTTCATGACTGACATGTATCGGGCTATAATAATCTTCAGAAACGAACATAAATTGTGGATCTATAAATGATATAGATTGAGACTTGAGAAGTTATTCAATAGGATGTAATCTGGATCAATAAAAGGTTTATTGATAAATAACGATGTAATTCCAAATGAATATTGACTATATGAAGATATATCAATTGAACTATATGGAGATATAGCGTTATAGTAGAATGGACTATATAGGGATATAGTGCTACCATTAATGTAAAAAAAAGAATTACACAAAAGTACCAGATATTACCGACACAAATAACATTAGGATTGGGAGAATATTAGATCCAGTGACGAAGGATCTACCATTAGCAAAGCATGTACTACACCAGATAGCCATTGGAGTTATATAAACATCCAACTAGATTACTGACTCCGGTGCAAGTGGGAGACCATTGGAAATATGCCATAGAGGCAATAATATTTGTATTTTCATATTTCCATATTCATAGCTAAAGAGTTTATATTCTATGCTATAACTGCTATGGTCCTGAAATATGCGATTCAGTGGAAAACTCATATGCACGTGTGGAATGATAAACGGTTAAATTGAAGGCTCCTAGTCTTTCCTCTGGGACTACCTCAAGTGTTGTTGGTGATCATGTTTTCTGGATCTTAGGATATCGTTAAGTGTAATGATAGTCCTAAAGTAACATTGAGATTGTGATGTTGGAAGAACGATCATATTGAATCGACCCAAACTAGTTTGTTGTGAATTGGATTAATATCGTCTATAATCAATTTTAATAACACGGAGTGTTAACTTGTGATCTTGCTCCTTACACCATGAGAGTATCGTGGTCACTTCTTACTTACGGTGGGCTTTGGGGTTGCTCAAACATAACATGTAACACAATGATCATAATGATAACTTATAGGTTCATCGGAAAGTTTGACAAGTGGCCGGATAGCTCGAGAGTGGGATTTGCTCCTCCAATGATGGAGAGACATTCTTAGGGCCCTCTCGGTGTGACAACATCAATCATCGTATGGCCAGACATAGGTGACTTCTTCACGGGGATGCCTGAATAAAATAACGAGAAAGAAGAACAAAACTGGTAACAAGGATTTTGGTATAGTGAGCATAGTGATGACTCAGGAGGATACCGATGCATCCCGGGTTTTGTGAAGTATCGCGAAGCAAAGGGAACATCACATGATAACCAAAGGTTCACTCCAATATCATTCGTGTACTCACAGGGACCAATATGGACGTCCACGGTCCCGCTGTCGGTCATTGAACGAACGATTTCGTCCATGTCTGTGAGTTATCGAACCTACAGGGTCACAAGCTTAAGGCAATCACGATCTTATAGGTGTTAGTAGGACGGGAGTCATGAGAATATATTTGTGGAATTGTTTCATGAATATTCAGAATAGTTCCCAGAGGATCGAAAAGCGTTTCGGGGTCACCGAAAGGGTTTCGGTGAATATCGGGTAATAGTGGGTATTATGATATTATATATAGGTGGAAAATGTTTCGAGAGATGTTAAAAATAATATATATATATAATGGTCTATAAGTATTTAGACATTTTATATTTAATTTAAATATCAACAAACCTAAAAAGGCCAAGAGGTGGAGGGCATTATGGGCCACTGATACATCTATTTTGCATCATGTTTTCTTACTGTTATTTATGATGTTTTTATCCATAATAATGCTTTTTGGAGTAATTCTAATGCCTTTTCTCTCATAATTTGCAAGGTACACACCAAGGGGGAGAATTCTGGACCTGAAAAAGCTACGTCAGACTACCTATTCTGCACAACTCCAAACAAGCTGAAACTTTACGGGGATTTTTTTTGGAATATATAAGAATTGTTGGAGCAAATAACTACCAGAGGGGGGCCACC